AAAGACAAGGGCTGCTGGGATTACAAATAAGTTCTTTATCTTAATAATAATACCAATACATGTACAAGGTATACCAGTACATGTACAAGGTATACCAGTACATGTACAAGGTATACCAGTACATGTACAAGGTATACAGATCATAGCTGACATCAGTGACATACTACTATATAGAAAGTTGCTTGTTATGCTGAGCATTTCCCGCAAATTAGGTCAGTTTTGTCCCAGGATGTGACCCACACCAGTCCACTAACACCCAGGATGTGACCCACACCAGTCCACTAACACCCAGGATGGGACCCACACCAGTCCACTAACACCCAGGATGTGACCCACACCAGTCCACTAACACCCAGGATGTGACCCACACCAGTCCACTAACACCCAGGATGTGATCCACACCAGTCCACTAACACCCAGGATGTGACCCACACCAGTCCACTAACACCCAGGATGTGACCCACACCAGTCCACTAACACCCAGGATGTGACCCACACCAGTCCACTAACACCCAGGATGTGACCCACACCAGTCCACTAACACCCAGGATGTGATCCACACCAGTCCACTAACACCCAGGATGTGACCCACACCAGTCCACTAACACCCAGGATGCGACCCACACCAGTCCACTAACACTTGGGTACCTACTTGCTAGGTGAACAAGACAACAGGTGTAAGGAAACGCGTGGCCTGGTGGCCACGGGTTCGATTCCCGGCGGGTGGAAACATTTCGACACGTTTCCTTACACCTACTGTCCTGTTCACCTAATAGGTACCTGGGTGTTAGTCGACTGGTGTGGGTCGCATCCTGGGGGACAAGATTGAGGACCCCAATGGAAATAAGTTAGTCCTCGATGACGCACTGACTTTCTTGGGTTATCCTGGGTGGCTAACCCTTCGGGGTTAAAAATCCGAACGAAATCTTATCTTCGAAATGCTTCCACTCCGGCGGAAATCGAACCCAGGCCCTCAGCGTGTGAGGGAGAGCTTTGCCAGCCACGTCACGGCGCCACCTCCAAAACTGACCTAATTTGCGGGAAATGCTCAGCGTAACAAGCAACTTTCTATATAGTAGTATGTTACTGATGTCAACTATGATCTGTATACCTTGTACATGTACTGGTATACCTTGTACATGTACTGGTATACCTTGTACATGTACTGGTAGTAAATATTATTATTATTACTATATTAAAATCAAGAGGTCAGTAATAAACTCCAAGAAAATTTGAACAACTTACACATATGGCGTCAAATATGGTGTTTTCCGAGTACAAGCCGAACAGTGAGGCGAGACCAGACAACACACGGGCGAGGAGAACCTGCTGACACTAGAGTGACAGGACCTGAAGGTCAACACCACACCAAACATGTCACCCGAATTACACATATACGGTATAATGTGTTGTTAGATGTACAAGATTACCTACTGTCACTGTTCATCTAGCAGTAAGTAGGTACCTGGGTGTTAGTTTGGAGCATCCCACTAGACTCGAGCATCCTACTTGTAACTCAGTACGTACATGCTCTTGGTCTCACTCGCACTTAAGCTGCTTCTTTCCTCTCTATCTAGCCAATTTACACATCAATTAACTGTTATCTGGTGTCCCGTGGCTCGATCGCTAGAGCACTCTCCTCACACACGGAGGTCCGGAGTTCGAATCCCCGGTACGGCTGGAAAACATTAGGGACGAGTTTCCATAAGACACCTGCTGTCCCTGTTCACCCATCAGTTAAAAATGGGTACCTGGGTGTTAGTGGACTGGTGTGGGTCGCATCCTGGGTGTTAGTGGACTGGTGTGGGTCGCATCCTGGGTGTTAGTGGACTGGTGTGGGTCGCATCCTGGGTGTTAGTGGACTGGTGTGGGTCGCATCCTGGGTGTTAGTGGACTGGTGTGGGTCGCATCCTGGGTGTTAGTGGACTGGTGTGGGTCGCATCCTGGGTGTTAGTGGACTGGTGTGGGTCGCATCCTGGGTGTTAGTGGACTGGTGTGGGTCGCATCCTGGGTGTTAGTGGACTGGTGTGGTTCACATCCTGGGTGTTAGTGGACTGGTGTGGTTCGCATCCTGGGTGTTAGTGGACTGGTGTGGTTCGCATCCTGGGTGTTAGTGGACTGGTGTGGGTCGCATCCTGGGTGTTAGTGGACTGGTGTGGTTCACATCCTGGGTGTTAGTGGACTGGTGTGGTTCGCATCCTGGGTGTTAGTGGACTGGTGTGGTTCGCATCCTGGGTGTTAGTGGACTGGTGTGGTTCGCATCCTGGGTGTTAGTGGACTGGTGTGGGTCGCATCCTGGGTGTTAGTGGACTGGTGTGGGTCGCATCCTGGATGTTAGTGGACTGGTGTGGGTCACATCCTGGGACAAAACTGACCTAATTTGCGGGAAATGCTCAGCATAACAAAAGGACTTTCTATATAGTAGTATGTCACTGATGTCAGCTATGGTCTGTATACCTTGTACATGTACTGGTAGAAATAAAAACTACAATGTACTCGCCTATTTGTGGTTGCAGGGGACGAATCACGGCTCCTGGCCCCGCCTCTTCGCTGCTCCAGGAGGAAGAATATATATGCCGTCTACATACAACTTTTACTGACCATAGCTGATATCAATGACATACTATATAGAAAGTCCCTGATTATAGTTACTGTACTGTGTACCTCGTGCCCATGATACCACACTCCCTGGTACCGGCAGGGACCATCACACTCCCTTGTACCGGCAGGGACCATCACACTCCCTGGTACCGGCAGGGACCACCACACTCCCTGGTACCAGCAGGGACCACCACACTCCCTGGTACCAGCAGGGACCACCACACTCCCTGGTACCAGCAGGGACCACCACACTCCCTGGTACCAGCAGGGACCACCACACTCCCTGGTACCAGCAGGGACCACCACACTCCCTGGTACCAGCAGGGACCACACACTCCCTGGTACCAGCAGGGACCACCACACTCCCTGGTACCAGCAGGGACCACCACACTCCCTGGTACCAGCAGGGACCACCACACTCCCTGGTACCAGCAGGGACCACCACACTCCCTGGTACCAGCAGGGACCACCACACTCCCTGGTACCAGCAGGGACCACCACACTCCCTGGTACCAGCAGGGACCACCACCACTCCTGGTACCAGCAGGGACCACCACACTCCCTGGTACCAGCAGGGACCACCACACTCCCTGGTACCAGCAGGGACCACCACACTCCCTGGTACCAGCAGGGACCACCACACTCCCTGGTACCAGCAGGGACCACCACACTCCCTGGTACCAGCAGGGACCACCACACTCCCTGGTACCAGCAGGGACCACCACACTCCCTGGTACCAGCAGGGACCACCACACTCCCTGGTACCAGCAGGGACCACCACACTCCCTGGTACCAGCAGGGACCACCACACTCCCTGGTACCAGCAGGGACCACCACCTCCCTGGTACCAGCAGGGACCACCACACTCCCTGGTACCAGCAGGGACCACCACACTCCCTGGTACCAGCAGGGACCACCACACTCCCTGGTACCAGCAGGGACCACCACACTCCCTGGTACCAGCAGGGACCACCACACTCCCTGGTACCAGCAGGGACCACCACACTCCCTGGTACCAGCAGGGACCACCACACTCCCTGGTACCAGCAGGGACCATCACACTCCCTGGTACCAGCAGGGACCATCACACTCCCTGGTACCAGCAGGGACCATCACACTCCCTGGTACCAGCAGGGACCATCACACTCCCTGGTACCAGCAGGGACCATCACACTCCCTGGTACCAGCAGGAACCATCACACTCCCTGGTACCAGCAGGAACCATCACACTCCCTGGTACCAGCAGAGAGTATCACACTCCCTGGTACCAGCAGAGAGTGTGATACTACCTGCTGGTACCACACTCCCTGGTACCCTGCCGAAAGGTCCAGGTAAGGACCCTGCCAGGCTACACCTGCTGTCTACACACATTGCCTACAGTCTACACAGGGTATACACACAAGGTCTACACAGTCTACACGCAGGGTGTACACACCCAGTTTACACAGGGTGTAAATACACGGGCTACACAGTCTACACGCAGGGTGTACACACACGGTCCACACTAACCTACCTCCGTGGAACAAGTGATCAAGAGTCACCTTCACAACCCCTGGGACCAGTAACCAGTACAGTCATGGTGACTACACTGACTCCACACTCATGTGCATTGTGCTGCGTCTACACTGACCCCACACTCATGTACATTGTGCTGCGTCTACACTGACCCCACACTCATGTACATTGTGCTGCGTCTACACTGACCCCACACTCATGTACACTGAGTACGTTGTCTACACAGAGTTGTGTAGACACAGTAGTGTGTGCTCACATTTGTACTTGCCTATTTGTGGTTGCAGGGTTCGATTCACCTCCTGACGCCTTTTCACTGGTCGCTACTTGGCCCACTCTCTCCCGGCTCCGTGAGATTTATCATACCTCTTCTTAAAGCTATGTATGGATCCTGCCTCCACTACATCACTCTCCAGATTGCTCCACTTCTTGACAACTATGGCTAAATACTTCCTGTGAGGGAAAAGTAGGTGTAAGTGGGGTTAAGGTTGTTCGGGCAACCAGGAACCATTAGAGAGTTACGTTGCGCGCGCACACACCCCCCCCTCTCTGGCGGGCTGGGGCAAAACTAGTTCCTGGTGTCCGATTTGTTAAAGTTTCTACTCCTGGTAATATTGACCTTACCTGGTGTGGATGGAAGTTTGGAGAGTCACTTCGCCTCCACTCTTCTCCTAATCAGGTAGGGTGATCTACCAGGAGTATTACTGTTTGTTCTTTTCTAGTGTTTGCTGGTTACCAGTAATGATTTTGGCCTTTATCATTCTTTTTCTTTCTTAATGTTATATTATCATGACTATGGGTAACCAGTTTTATTTTCTCTTATTTGTCAGCTCTGTTCCTGGCGTGGTCTTCCAGGATAGACGCCAGATAAAGGGGCAAGACGTGTGTTAATAATACTTATTAACATTATTCTACAACTACCGGCCCTTACCTATACTACTTGTGCTCCATCCAAGTGGTAGGAGATTCCAGAACATCGGATTACCATCTGCCCAGGATAACCTACATAAATAACATCAGAGGAACTATCTAGGGCCATACCTACTCCTACCCAACAAGAACTGAAGGCCATTTTTTTTTATTATATTTAAATTTTAAGTAAAATTCTCAAAAATCATTTTTCTTGTTTTTCCTAAATCATTTCTTCATTTATTTATTTTTCCATTAGTTTCTTTTGTTCAGTAGGAAGGCGTTCCACTGACACTTCCTACCATCCCTGTGACTCATCCGAGTCTTCAACTTCCAGCTGTGACCTCTCGTTGCAGTGTCACATCTCTGGAACACTGTCCCTATCCACCTTGTCAATTCCTCTCAATATTTGATATGTCGTTATCATGTCCCTCCCCAATCCCTCTTGTCGTCCAGTGTTGTCAGAATGATTTCCCTCAACCTCTCCATCTAGGACATACCCCTTAGCCCCAGGACTAGTCTTGTTGCAAACCTTTGCACATTCTCTAATTTCTTGATGTGCTTAACCAGGTGTGGGTGTCATACTGGTGCTGCATACTCAGACATGGGCCTCATGTACAATGTGTACGTAGTCTTGAATGATTTCTTAGGTGTCAAAGCGCTATTCAAGTTTGCCAGGCACCCATATGATGCAGCAGTTATTTGGCTGATGTGTGCCTCGGGAGATATACTCGTTATGATGCTCACCCCAAAATCCTTTTCCTTGAGTGTGGTTTGTAGCCTCTTGACCCCAAGCATGTACTCACGTGTGTGGTTTTCTTTGACCTTCTGCAATCTTCATGACTTTGCATTTTGTGCGGTTAAACTCCAGGAGCCAGTTCTTGGACCAGGCCTACAACCTGTCTAGGTCCCTTTGTAGTCCTACCTGATCCTCATCCACTTGAATTCTAGCCTTGTTTCACTCTCTTGCCCCTTTTGTCTTTGTATCCTTTTAGTTTCTGTCATTCTGCTTTCGTTCTGTCATGATCTAGGTACACCCACTGGTATTTTATTTCCTTTAGTCGTGGGTTCTGCTGCAGGATCCTGTTCCATTCAGTTTGTCTTTAAAATAAGTTTGACTGACCAGTTTCTTCCCTTCAAGTATCCCCATATTCTCTGAAATTTCATTAGCTCGGTCATGTCCTGTTTGATGATATTTTCAATATCTTTTCTCTCTCCCTGTCATCTTTCTTTGTACGTCCTCTCTCCGGCCTCCTGAAGCACATGAATAAATTTTGACCTCTCCCTCTCCTCTTCCCATCTCTGGGTCCGATTTAAGCATTGCAATTGCTGCTTCCCTGATATCGCCTCTGCAGGGGACCTATCACTATCTTGATGATGATTCTCTTCAAATTGCTTATTCTCTCTATCCTGGAATATTGCTGTACACTAACTGCCCCCTTCAAGGCTGGTGAAATTGCTGACCTGGAGATTGTACGAAGAACTTTCGCTGCACAAAAGTACGATAAGGCACCTAAATTACCGGGAACAGTTGAAATTCCTTGATTTGTATTCCTTGGAATGCAGGCGAATGAGATGCATGATAATATACACTTGGAAAATCCTAGAGGGATTAGTAAACTTGCAGACGAAAATCATCCTATGAGAGCAAAAGACTCGGCAGGAGATGCAACATTCCTCCAATGAAAAGCAGGGGAGCCACAAGTACACAGAGACAACACAGTAAGTGTCAGGGGCCCAAGACTGTTCAGCCGCCTCCCAGCATACTTAAGGGGGATCCCCTTATGTATGCTGTCTTCAAGAAGGCACTTGACAGACACCTATAGTCAGTACCGGACCAGCAGGGGTATGGGTTCGTAGGTCAGTTTGCGTGTGGCCTACAGTAACAGCCTGGTTGATCAGACCCTGATCTACCACAAGGCCTGGTCTCAGACCGAGCCGCGGGGACGTTGACTCCCGAAACCCTCTCCAGGTATACTCCAGGTATCCTTACCTACAATCCCCCTCATTTACCGCTGTCACTGTGCCCAGCAGTTTGCCACTTTCACTTCCCGATATTTCCTGGGCCTCCTGGTGGCCTGATAGGGCCTCCTGGTGGCCTGATAGGGCCTCCTGGTGCCTGATAGGGCCTCCTGGTAGGCTGATAGGGCCTCCTGGTAGCCTGATAGGGGCCTCCTGGTAGCCTGATAGGGCCTCCTGGTAGCCTGATAGGGCCTCCTGGTAGCCTGATAGGGCCTCCTGGTAGCCTGATAGGGCCTCCTGGTAGCCTGATAGGGCCTCCTGGTAGCCTGATAGGGCCTCCTGGTAGCCTGATAGGGGCCTCCTGGTAGCCTGATAGGGGCCTCCTGGTAGCCTGATAGGGGCCTCCTGGTAGCCTGATAGGGGCCTCCTGGTAGCCTGATAGGGGCCTCCTGGTAGCCTGATAGGGCCTCCTGGTAGCCTGATAGGGCCTCCTGGTAGCCTGATAGGGCCTCCTGGTAGCCTGATAGGGGCCTCCTGGTAGCCTGATAGGGGCCTCCTGGACCCTGATGGGGGCCTCCTGGTAGCCTGATAGGGCCTCCTGGTAGCCTGATAGGGGCCCCGGGTACCCTAAAAGGGGCCTTGGTAGCCTGATAGGGGCCCCCTCTGGTACCCTATAGGCCTCCTGTTAGCCTGTTTGGGCCCCTCCTGGTAGCCTGATTGGGCCTCCTGGTAGCCTGATTGGGCCCCGGGTACCCTGATTGGGCCTCCTGGAGCTGTTTGGGGCCCCTCTACATAGGCTTTTCCCCTTTCCCTTTTCCCTAGGGTCCCCCACGGGATATTAGTCAACCTGTTCCTGATGTCACTCCCTTCCCTTTCATTAGTCTGTGTCAGTGTTGAACCGAGTGACTGTGAACTAAATTATGTGTGTACACAGAGGTAAGTTTCTCAGTGTAAATATACACACACACCCCTCTCCGGTATATACAGATAATACACCCTCTCAGGTATATACGACACACACCCTTCAGTGAAATACACAGACAACACACCTTCAGTGAATATACACAGACACAACCTCCAGTGAATATACACGACCAAAACACCCCTCTCAGTGTTTTCACAGACCCCACCTCTCAGTGAATATACACAGACACACACCCTTCAGTGAATTACACAGACCTTCAGTGAATATCACAGACCAACACCCTCATGAATTTAAAAACAGACAAAACACCTCTCAGTGAAATACACAAACCACACCTTAGTGAATATACACGACACACACACCTCTCAGTTATATACACAACACATACAACCCTCTCATGTATTACACAGCACATACACCCTCTCGTTATATACCTGTGTATTTTTACAGTATAGCCCCCAAATTTAACAAGTAAAAATCCTGTCAAGCTTGGGCCCTCCAAAATAGGCCTATGCCAAGTCTGTAACATAGGAGATTATGTTCAACCTTTTTACTGAGGCGAGTTTGGGCCACTCTATAGAGCTCTATGATCTTTCCAAGGCTTTATGGGGTCTCGATTTTTTAAAGGGCTCGATAAGCGCTGTAGAACTTTAAAAAGGCTTTATATAACTCTGTAGAGCTTTAGGAAATTACTTTAGAGCATTACAAAAGCTGATAGAAACTCTGTAAGCTAAATAAGAATGTAGAGTTTATAGAGCTTTACCAACCTTGGAGAGCTAAAGATTTCCATATTTTGATAGGAGCTATGAGTTTTTGTCAAATCTTGATAGAGCACTGTCAGCTTTGAAGGCTTGTAGAGCACTGAGAGCTTAGCGATGCTTTTTAGAGGGGAATGTGGTCGTGGGGAAAGACTGAACGGCCCTTAAAGTGTGGGAGCGCTCAACCAGCGGGTGCGTCTTTTATTCACTGTACATATTTAGGGGTTGTGTACAGTACTCGCCAAATTGTGGTTGGGGGGTCGATTCTAGCTCCGGGCTCCCCCTTTTGCTGGTGCTATTAGGTCACCCTCCCGTCTAGAGCTTCATCAAAACCTCTTCTTAAAAAATAGTATGGATCCTGTCTCCCACTGATCACTCTCCAGATTGTTGCACTTTTTGAAAACTCTCGGCTGAAAAAATATTTCCAAACCCCCGGGGACTCATTGAGTTTTCAGCTTCCAGTTGTGACCCCTTTGTTGCTGTGTCCCATCTCAAAACTCCTGTCTTTCCCCTTTGTCGATTCCCTCATATTTTTATGTCGTTTTTTCATATACCCCCACCCTCCGTCCCCACGTCACGGTTGATTTTTTTAAATTCCCCTCGTAGGACCCCCCCCTTTAGCCCCGGGACTAGTCTTGTTGCAAACCTTTCATTTCTCTAACCCTTAAACCCTTTTGACCAGGTGGGGCCCCCAAAGGGTGCGCATACCCCATTGGGCCTCCGTACAGTATACAGGCTTGAACGTTTCCCTTACTAAGGTGTCAAAAACGTATTCCAGGTTTGCAGGCCCCCATGTGCTGCGAGTTATCGGGTTTGATGTGCGCTTCGGAGATTGCCGGTTTTTTAATCACCACAATACCCTTTTTCTTTGAGTGGGGTTTGCAGTTTTTGACCTCCTAGACTGACTCTGAGGACTTCTTCGATTTTCCCCCCGATTTTCTGACTTTCACTGGTGGGGTTAAATCCAGGAGCCAGTTGCGGACAGGTTTGCAGCCCCGTCCCCGATCCCTTTGAGTCCTGCCGATCCTCATCCACTTGAATTCTTCGAATTAGCTTCACGTATCTGCAAAACACACATCGAATCCATCCCTTCCTTTGGGGTCACATTACTAGAAAAAGCCCGGCCCTAGGACTACCCTTGTGGAAACCCTATTTTACAGGTGCCCCCTGACACCTCGTCACGTACCCGACTCGTTTTTTCCTCCCCCGTCAGGATTCTGGATCCTTGCAGTGCCCTCCCTGTTAACCTGCCCGATGTCTATCTATGGCACTAACTTCTTGTGTGGGAAATGTGTTCAAAGCCTTTACAGTCCAAGAAAATGCAACATATCCATTTTTGTTTACTGCTGTCACCTTGTGTAAAACTCCCGTATATACTGGTGTATACATTTTGGGTTGAGCACAGTATGTTTCACTGTGTGTAAAGTGTGTTTGTACATGTGCAAACGACAACGAAGTAAAGGGTAACGAAAAATAAATAAACAAACCCAAACCCAACGCACGTTGAACAATACAGCAGTTTAACAATACGACGTTGAACAATACAGCACGTTGAACAATACG